GAGGGAACCAGCCCTGTGTTTATTTTTCCAGCTGTGCTTTTAGCAGCTCCCAGGGCTCACCTGGCAAAACCAGCCGTCCAAAACCCACCCGAAAACCGACGCTGCGGAAAAGCTGCCGGCGGGGGAAGGAACGCGGAGCCAGACAAAGAAAAGCACAAAATTCCCCGGGGTTGGGTTGTTTTCCACCCCTGTGCTTCCCTTCCCAGGCAGGTGAGCTCCAGCTCTTGGCTCACCAAGATCTTCTTTGCTGTGCTCTCGAGGGGGTTGTGCCAAGAGGAGCCAACGTTCCTGTTTTCCCTGGATCGCCTTTGCTGTGCTCGGAGCTGCTCTGTCACTGTAGCAGCCCAAATAATCCTTAATTTAAGACTTGGGGCTCTTCTCTCCATCTCCAGCCAGCCTGACCTTGTTGCAGGGATGAATCAGCAGTAAATGTCAGGCTGGTGTGATCAGGGAAGAGGCTTTGGCTCCGTGTTGGGATGTGTCTGTCTCCAAAGTGTAGTTCAGGCGGATGAGTTGGGCAGGGCAGGAGAATTCCTGCTCAGTTTGAGACAAACCTCAACCACCCTGACAGTGCTCAGTGGTTTTGGGAGGCTTTTGGGAAGCACCTGATGGTTGAAGTGCTCCAGAAACACTCCAGCTGTGCATCCCTAAGGGACTTAATTTCCCAAGGAAGGTCTGGTAAAGCACTGGGACCAGTTTGAGAGTGAAACTGGAGACCCTCATGCCCAGGGTGTGTTGAGCAGCTCCGGTGGGGCAAGGTAGGATCAGCTGAGCTGGAAGTTGGGCAGGGATCTCTTGGGGACCCCAGCTGGAGTCATGGGAGAGCAAAGGTTGTTTTCCTTGGAAGGACCCATGTTCTCCCTGGAAGTGGAGCAGGATGGTGCCCGTGGCAGCTCCGAGAGTCGTGTTGTGTGCAACGCGTTGCTTGTCTGATCTAATCCCGGCATCCATTGGTATTCCCAAACCAGTGAAATGAGCTTGGATCACTCCAGGGCTTTGTCATGCTGATCCCTGAAACTGCTGATGGGCTGGAGGCCTTGGCTTTGTGCTTGGTTTTGTGCTGAGGGAGTTGTTTGGTCAGGAGGAGGGTGTGGAAGAGTGATGGAAAACCTCGGATCATGGGCAGCGTTGTCGTTCCATTGGGGTTGGCTCAGTGTCCTGATCATCCCAGCAGCTTGTCCTCCCATCCCAGGAGGTTCTGGTGTTGGCTCTGTGTCCTGATCATCTCAGGAGCTTGTCCTCACATCCCAGGAGGTTTTGGGGTTAGCTCTGTGTCCTGGTCATCCCAGCAGCTTGTCCTCCCATCCCAGGATGTGCTGGGTTGTCTCAAACCCAAAGGAATATTCTCATTGACAGGGAGAAAATCACGCCCAAGCAATTCCATACCCAGCAGAAGGTTCCAAGGAGCGGGGTGTCCCTGTGCTCCCCATAAACTGTCACCTGCAGCCCAAGGGAGGACAAAGAGCAAGGAAAAGAGGATGGTGCTGACCCTGAGCAAACCCATCCTGTCCTCATCCCTCCTTAGCAAACATCCCTACGCTCCTGTTTCCACTCCAGGGTGTTTTTTCCCTTTGCTCAGCACCGGCCGCCTTTCCGGTCCGGGATGCTGCTGGAGGATGAGGGGGGGAAGCACGTGTTTTTTTGGGAAGCTGGAGATACAGCAGTGCTTTGTGTGCAGCTCCCCGTGCCTCCAATTGATCCTGGCAACAGCAAATGTAAAAATAGACGCCGGGTGCCTTCCCCCAAACTTGCCTTTTGGCAGCCACTCCCTTGGAGTCTCGGTGGAAATGAGTGGGAGGAGGGAGGGAAGGGATTCACTCCGAGCGTCTGGAGGCAGTTGGGATGTGCTGATTAACCAGGGTGACCTAAATGAGTGAGCACAGCCACGGGGTGGGGGCTGGGGAGGCCTCTGCCACACGTGGATGCTCACAATCCGTGTTCTCAGCTTCCAAACCCCTCGGAGCACCTCTGGCTTCCCAGGAGCTGCCCCGGAGCTCGCAGGGGCCTCCGGGTGCTTCCCGTTTCCGAGGGGTTCTCTGTTTGAGGTTTCCTCTCCCAGCCCTCTGTGATGGGGGGAGTTGCTGTTTCCTTCCCCCTCAGCCATCCCCAGGGCCTGGGGGCCTCTCCAGCCCCTTCCCTGCCACAGAATCCGTGGAGGACGGATCCTGGAATCCCCAATTTTGGGAGGATTCACCTGCAGGACAGTGCAACACTGCACCGAGGTGCTGGATCCAGGCAGTGTCAGAGGGAAGAATGCACATTTTTTTAGGAAAAGCTAATTTCCTGAGCCTATGGTTTGTGTCTCCAGGCTGAATTCCCTGGATGTGTCCCATTGGAGATGTCCCTGAGCACACCTGGCTCTCCACGTGTCCAGGGCTGAGGTGTCTCAGCAGGAGCATCACTGATGATCCAGCAGTAGCTCACGGGGGAAGGAGCAGTTCTCCACAGAGCAGAAGGATGTGGATTTAGGACCAGCACGCTGGGAAGCAGCTGGATTCATCCTCTGGGATGCCCCTTTCCAGCTGTAGGGAGCAAGAGAAGGAGCACAAACTGGGGGGCCAAGCACATCTCCTTAGGTAGGAGCAATCCTGCTCCCCATCACCACCAGCTCTGGCTCTGGGACAAGACAGCCAGTTTAATTTAACTTTAATCTAATGTTAATCTAATTTTAATTTAATTTTTTTAACTAGCAAAGCCCATGTTGGGCTGTGCCCCCTCCAAACCTTGCTAAGAACCCTCGGAGCAGGTGGCTGGAGATGAGTGTCTTATCCAGGATGTCCTGTGCAATGAGAAGCTGGATCCAAGCTGGTGCCACCTTCCTCAAGAGAGGCCTCCAAAACACCCCCAAGAAGCAGATCCTTGTGGTCCCATATCCCTGGTGCTGGATGTGCTTGGCACAGCTTCCTCCCTCTCCCTGTGCTCCTCCAGCACCTCTTCCAGAGGTTTAACATAACCCAGTTCTGCTATTTCAAGCCTGGAAAAGGGGTTTTGTGGGCAGAACTGGTTTGTTTTTCCAGGTGTATCCTCTGTTCCCATAAAAGAGGTCGTGGCCCCCTTCAAAATGTGACCTTGGGTGGCCCCAATCCAGAAACCCCCAGCCAGGGAAGAAATATGGGAAACCGAGGGCCGTGGGATGAGGTTGATAGTGAAATTATGCTGTGGAATTTTGATTTTTAGCTGGGCTGGGACTTGCAACCCTCCCCAGGCTCAAGCAGTGTTTGCACCTCCCTTTTCCACTGGAACTGATTCATAAAAACCCAGGAACACACAACGTGTGGAACAACTTAATCCTCCCAAACACTCGTCTGGTGCCACAAACTTAGAGCTGAGCCTAAAAATAGCCCTGTTGCCTGTTGGAGGTGTAGTCCTGACTGTTTGCCGACTGTGGATGAGGTCTTGGGTTCCAAAAATAGCTCCTTAATCCCACACCAGCCTAAGCAGGGGCTTTTCCTTCAACAGATGCTTTTTGGAGCAGCTCAGGCTGAGCCCCCAAATTCCTTTTAATGCCCACAAAATTGGAAGGGTTGGGATGGGAGATGCTGTTCCCTCTCATCATCCTCAGAAGCTCGTGCCTTTCCTTGTGTTAATCCACCCAGATTCCTCCTATTTTTTTTTTTCCATGGGATGACATAAGGTGTAAAAACCACTTTCAGGAGGTTTTTTTTTGTTTTTCCTGCGAAATGATTCAGCCCCCAAATCTCTCCTGTCCCAGCTGCCAGGCTGCTCCAGCCCTTCCCTCTTGAACTTCTTCCAGCTCTTCAATTCAACTAAACAATATTGGATGTTCCAGGCAGCCTTTTCCCCTCCAATCCTACGGGAAGTGTCCTCCTGACTCACCTGCTCCTTTTCCCTGGCAGTGGATTGGCCCATTCTGGTGTCTTTTTGCTGCTGGTGTTTTGCTCTAAGGGGTTAATGCTGCTTTTTTTCCCCCCCATTGATTTTGTTTTTCCTGCCTGCCTGGATATTTTGAAGCTCAAAGCCTGGGTACTGAAAATTGTGCAGTGGGAATCCTGTGGGATGGGATAAGGGAGTGGTGGGAACAGGAATGCACTCACTGGGGATTTAATTTTGTGTGTGTTCCCAGCAAAGTTCCAGGCTCTGTCCTTCCTGCATTTTGAATTAATTGGTGAAGGACCTGGGTGCTTCCAGCTGTGCACTTGGAATATTTATCAGGGAATTAGGGGGTCTGTGCCCCATTCACAGAATGGTTTGGGTTGAAAGGGACCTTAAAGTTCACCTTGTTCCACCCCTGCCATGGACAGGGACACCTTCCACTAGCCCAGGTTGCTCCAAACCCCATCCAACCTGTTCTTGGACAATTCCAGGGAATGGTGTAGCCTTCCCAGGCTTCTCAGCTCCTCCCTTCATCCAGGATGTGATAATTTCCCCAGCAGCAATAGGGAAACTTCTGGAGAACACAATTATACTTCTCTCCTTGCCCTGGTGGTTTCAGCCTGGTCACACCCACCTCCATCCCAGCACGTTTTCCTTCCCTATTTTTTTTTTTCTTCTCAGTGATTTTGCTCTCCAAGTGGATGTAAAACACCACTGGGATATTTTATTTTCTGGGAAAATGTTAACCCAGGTCCAGAAATGTCTTCCAGCTCCCACTGCTGTGTCTTTCACCCAGGAAGGACAACGTGGAGAAATAGGGTCTGTCCTGAACCTACGGATTTCCTTGGGCCTTGTTAAGGGGAATTTTAATCATAAATTCATCTTTTAATACTTTGATTTGGGAGGGAGCAGAGCTACCAGGGTAGTGGCTGTGCTGGAGACCTGCTCATCCTGCTGCAGCTGCCCTGGGAAGCAGTGCCTGGAATGGGGCAGAAAGATGGAGCATCCTGTGGGAGAAGGGAGCGAAGGACCACTGGGTTGGCAGAGATTTTTGGGAAGAAACTGTTCCCTCGTGGCCTGTGTTTAGTGCTGCCCCATCTAGACATGGAAATGGAGAACTAGAAGGTGGCTCTGGGCATGTCTTGCTGTGGTGTCCTCTCTCCCACCTTTCATTCCCACTGGCAGGAAGCAAGACCCCTTTCCCAGAGGTTGCTCCGTGCCCTTCCCGTGGAAGGATTGGGACCTAAATGGAGGTTGGGATTATTTTTGCCTTGTGCAGTGGATGGTTTGGAGGCTTTTCCCATGTTCCTGCCATGCAGAGCTCTGGAGCACAGTCCATATTCCAGGTTTTGTGTGGGGCAGGACAGCGGGAACTATCCCTGGGATCCTGCTGTGGAGTCAGTGGGAGCCTCTGAGCTGGTGGACATGGCCAACATCTCCTTCTGGAGCTCTCACCAGGCAGGAGAATTCCATCAGCCAGCTGTGGGAATGCAGATATTTCCCGAAAATCAGTAACCTGGGTAGAGTTGGGTTGAGTAGTTGCTTCACAGAAGGTTCTCCTTCCCATAAAGGACTCCCAGGATTCACCATCCTTGAAGCACTTGATGCAAGGACACTTTGAGTCAAACCTGAGCACCTTTATTTTGGGTGAGACACAGAAGGTCTGGCAGAAAGTTATTTTGATGGATGTCATTGGGAGCCTTTGCCATTCCAGGTCTGCCTGTGCCTGGAAGGATTTGTTGAGTCACTGGCTCTGGAATATTTCAACCAGGAGGAGAAAGCGCCGCCGGCTTTGTTTTCTTTCCCACCTGAGCTCCCAGCAACCTGACAAGTGACCCTACAAAAATTGGGCCACTGGTAGCATTCCCTGGAAAAGCACAGTGGTGTCTGACAGCAAGGTGGCGTTTTCCAGGTTATTTAGTGGAAGGATGGTGTTTAGGACAAGGGCAGGGATGGAGATGGAGCTCTTACAATGCCATGGTGGTTGAGGGGTGTCTCTGACTCGGGTTTTAGGTGGTACCTGGGACTCTTAGAACAGAATCATGGAATCATTAAGGTTGGAAAAGCCCTCCAAGATCATGGAGTCCAACCTGTGACTGATCCCCACCTTGTCACCCAGCCCAGAGCACTGAGTGCCATGTCCAGTTGTTCCTTGGACACCTCCAGGGGTGGGGACTCCACCACCTCCCTGGGCAGCCCCTTCCAATGTTTAACAACCCTTTCCATGAAGAAACTCGTGCTAGAGAGCACTGGTGCCTTCTCCCACCCCAGCAGCATCTTCTCCAGAGTTCTCCTGGCTTGTGACTCTTGGAAATGACAGAGGCACCTTTCCTTTTCTTTCCTCTCTGGCTCCAGGTGGCACAAGCTGCACTCCAAGGCCGGGAAGAAGGAGAAGGAGCGGGGTGAGATCCTGGTGAGCATCCAGTTCACACGGAACAACCTCACGGCCAGCATGTTCGACCTGTCCATGAAGGACAAACCACGGTCACCCTTCGGGAAGCTGAAGGACAAGGTGACAGGCAAGAAGAAATACGACCTGGAGTCGGCCTCTGCCATCATCCCCAGCAGCCTGGGCGGCCTGGACGTGGAGGATGACTACGAAATGGGGGGCAAGAAGGCCAAAGTCAAGGGCTTTTTCCTGAAGAACAAGCTGCGCAAGTCGTCCCTGACGCAATCCAACACTTCCTTGGGATCCGACAGCACCATCTCCTCTGCCAGCCTGAGCTTGGCAGCAAATGTTCCTGAGGTAACCAAATCCCCGAGCAGACACAGCAGTCTGTCCATGGAGCGCTCTGGTAAGAGGATCATGGATAATCCCTCCCCCTTTTTTTCCCCCCACTCTTTTTTTTCCCTTTGTAAAGGACTGTTGAGACTTTCTTGCAAATCTGTTAACTAATTACTGACCTAATCATGGAATCGTAGGAATGTGGGGTTATTTGGGTTGGAAAAGCCCTCTGAGGTTGTCAAGTCCAGCACTACCAAGGCCACCACTGACCCATGTCCCCAGGTGCCACATCCACAGGGATTTTAAATCCCTCCAGGGATGGGGACTCCACCACTGCCCTGGGCAGCTGTGGCCAGGGCTGACCAATCCATCGATGCAATTTTCCCAATATGCCAGCCTGACCCTCCCCTGGCACAACTTGAGGCCTTTCCCTCTCCTCCTGTCCCTTGTTCCCTGGGAGCAGAGCCCAACCTCCCCCTGGCTCCCCCCTCCTGTCAGGGAGTTGCAGAGCCAAAAGGTCCCTCTTGAGCCTCCTTTTCTCCAGGCTGAGAATCAGTGTCCTGCAAAAACCCTCTGAGATCTTCTGCCTTCTGCCTTTGTGCTCGGCAGAACGGGGAGAAACATCCAAGATTTTGCTTTTCCGTGCCTGGCTCACGTTGATGCTCCCTGTCCTTCCCGCAGCGCCACGAGCTCCCGGGGTACGAGGGTTCCTCAGGGCTGTTTCTTCTCACCCCTCAAAGCGGGTCCCTGACACTGGAAGGCCCCAGGAGAGGGCTGGGGGAAGCTGCTGCTGCCCTGCACTGGGTCACTGGTCTAACGAGCCGCCTCCGGCTTGGAGGCAAAGCCGGAGCAGTGCCCAGTTCCCGGTGATTAAAACAATCCGAGCTCTTGGCGCCCGGAGAGCGGCGATTTCCAAACAAAAAAGGCCCTTGTAGGGAATTAATTCTCGCCGTCCCTTGAAAACGAAATATGTAATTAGGTGGTTTAATTGGCTGGCCACAGCCAATTCCCGGATGGGGTGGGAGATGCCGGGGGGTTTCTGCTGGATGACGTTCCCACATGTCGTGTCCGTGGCTGGAGAGCGAGTCGAGACACTGCTCTGATCCCATCATCCTTGGCATGAACCTTCCATCTAATGCCAGTTCCCGTGGCAGGGGCTTGGAACTAGATAATCTGTAAGGTGTTTTCCAACCCAAACCATTCCATGATCCTATGAAGGAAACATCTCCAGCCAGGAGGGGAGAGCAGCTGGTTGTCACCTCAATCCAGACAGTCCTTGTCTCTGGGTCCTCCACGATTTTTAACCCCAAAAGTCTGCAGTATCCACAAGGTCGTAGAATCATGGAATTGTTAAGGTTGGAAAAGACCTTTAAGATCCTCAAGTCCAACCCTCAGGGCAGTTGAGAGGGAGATGAAGGCACTGGATTCTCCTGGCTTGTCATACCTGGCTGGTTGGAGCAGAGCTCAGGGCCTTGTCATCTCCTAATCATGCAAACTCCGAAGTCACACAGAAGCATTAAACCCTCTAAGTAGTTTCTGGGGAGTTTCTTGCATCTATTATCCATCTCAGATCCTCTCAGACAAGGGGCTTATGTTACAGAGTCTCCTCTCTGGGTCCTGCAGTGGGAGGTGACGTGCTCAGGGAAAATATTGTGTGTCCTGTATCTCCACTTAGTTGTATCCCGGGCTCTGCATTTCAAATTTAATTATAATCCAGTGGAGCCCGGGAGCTGGGGTGACTTCAAGGCTCTCTTTAGTGTTTGCAGGTAGGAGATAACGCTGCTTGTCACGTCCTCACCTCTGTTTTGTGCTCAATCTCCCCCCCCAGTGAAAGACTATTTGCCGTCTCCCAAGCTGACCCACAAGAGAGCGTTCAGCGACGACGTCTCCCAGGTCAGCCCGGTCCTGGAGCCCAAAGCGATCCAAAGCCTGAAGCCAAAGAACGATCCCGTGTCCCGTTCTTCCCTCTGCATCAACGGGAGCCACGTTTACAGCGACGAGCCCGCCCCGAAGAGCCCCGCGCCGGTGCCGCCCGGCTCTGCCCCGCTGCCCGTGCCCGCCGTGCCCAGGAGGCAGGACGAGGGGTTCGGCTTCGCCCCGCTCCATCCCGACCCCCACGAGGCGCCCTGGGGGGTCGGCGGCTTCGAGAGGCCTCAGCAGAGGGACGAGCCGAGGTTCATCCCGTCTCCTCCCAGCTTAGCCCTGCAGGAAGAGCTCAAGGTCTCCACGAAGGCCGTCACCCTCAGCAACCACCTGGGCAGGGCCAGGATGGAGGAGAGCAGCCGCCTGGAGAACAAGCCCACCCAAGCCGCGGCACCCGTGGGCTTCTCCTCGGACAAACAGCCCGAGGAGGCGAGGAAGGAAGAGAAGAAACCAAAAGGCGGCTTCTTCCACCACGGGGGCAACCGGAGCGAGGCGGGGAGCAAAGGCCAGGGGGAGAAAGTGGGACCCTCCGTCCAGGCCGCGGCGGCGGGAGACGAGAGGAGTAAGAGCAGCGGCTGGTTTGGTTCAAAGGAGCCCAAAGATTCCCCTCAGAAACCCAGGTCAGTGGAAAAGGGGGTGTGGAGATATCCAGGCTGTTGATTCCTGCCCCAAATTCCCGTCTTCAGAGGCTGGGAAACGCTCCCGGGATCAGCGGAGCGCCGGCCCCGCTGCTCGGGCGAGGCCACAGCAGGGAAGAGGCTTCCTTGGTCTTAAATGTCTCAAAGGGAAGGGGATTTTTCCTGGATTCTCTCCTGGCTTCTGCCACAGCCCAACTCTGTTTATCCTTGTGGGATGTGTTTTCCACTCAGGGAGGGAGGGATCCCCTTCATGGAGAGGTTTCCCTCTGCAGGGTGAGGCTCAGGGTGTGGTCACACCAGGTGTTTCTGTGGCCTTGAAATAAAGGATCATTATCCTTTAATTAGCTGAAAAGGCTTCCCTGGAAGCCAGTGTGGGATGTGGGATATCATGACATGTAATCACATTATTTTTATTAACCTCCCACCCCTTCTGCGTGGTCTGGTCACTTTGATAACTTGAGATATTATTAATAGTCCCAAAGTCACTAATCCCAACCCTGCTCTTTCCTCTTCCCATTCCACCCAGCCTTCCCTTCTTATGAATCTCTAACTGTTCTCGCTTTCTGTGATGATTCATCCCCCCAAATCCTCAGCCCTGCCTTTGTGGCACACAAAGGGTGATGTTTGTGCTGTTTCTGTGAGGAATTTATCACTTGTGTCCATCCCTGGAGCCCCCAGGAGCTGAGCTGGGAGTCCAGAGGTTTTTTTTTTTCTGACTGTTTTTAACCCATTTCCTCCCTTTCCCTCAGGAAATGGGTTCAAAACAGCCAGAAAAAAATAACCAGGAGTCGAGAGCTGGTTGAATCTACAAGGTTGATTCATTATAGGGATTTTCTAATCTGGGCTGACTTTAACCTAATTTATTGAGCAGAAGGATTTGAATTCAGTCTAAGCCTCCTTTAATGAGGAGGCCACTCGTGGTTTATTCCACCTAAAGAGGCTCCCACATAGGTTAAACCTTTTAGAGGGATGAGCACATCCCTCAGCCTGGCTTCAGGACAGGGGCAATTCCTGAAATTCCTCCTCCAGAATTCCTGCTCTCCTCACCCCACACGAAGCTTTGAGGCTCCACGGGCAGAGCTGGGGAAACTGAGGCAGGTGGGAGCTGCTCCCCTGGGTCAGGAATATCCCATCTCACAGGCCTGAGGCTCTTTCCCCCCAAAAGTGTCATGGGAGAGGGAAGGTTGGCACAAAGGGATGGGAAGGACCAGGCAGGATGTGAGAGCTCCGTCCTCAAGCTGCTCCAGCAGCGGGAGAGACAAGTGGGAGATCCTTGGACTGCCATGGCTGCATTCCTATGGATGGGTCTGTCATTCCCCATCCCTGGAAGTGTCCAAGGCCAGGTTGGACGGGGCTTGGAGCAACCTGGGCTAGTGGGAGGTGTCCCTGGTTGGAACAAAGTGATCTTTATGGTCCCTTCCTACCCAAACCATGCTGTGATTCCATGATTCCCAGGACACTTGAAACCCTGGTAGGGATTTGGTGCCATATCCCAGTGCCAGATTTGTGGATGAGCCTAAAGGAAATACTTATGGTCTCTGAATCCTGTCATTGAGGAAGGACAGACTATTCCCTCTCAGGATTGTTCTTTTAATTTTTCCATCTAATTTTGGGACAATAAACCTGCTCTTTAAGTCCTAGAATAAAAAAAATCAAGCCATAAAAATCCTGCTGTATCCAGGCAGGGATTCCACAAGCTGCCTGAGCACTGTGAGCATGGGATGGGATGGGAAAGGATGGGATGGAACGGGATGGGAGCTGCCCTCTGCATCTCCCTCTGGAGCCTTTTCCTTGGAAAGTGGGTGAGAAACCAGTGGGTTTCCTCCTGCTGGGAAGTTCTGGGAAGGAGGCAGGCAGGGCTGTGTGTTCCAACCTGATGCAGGAGCTGTGCCTGCCCCACTCCCCTTGGACACAGCTGATTTCAAGGCCGGGATGTCTCAATTCCAGTTGGAATTTGGTTCCTGGAACATCCAACCCAGCACATAATCACAAAGCTGCCCTTAAACTCTGCTGGTTTCTAACAATCCCTGCCTTTCCTAAAATGCTGGACACATTCCCACCGTTACTCCTTTCCCAGAGAGTTTTCACTCCATGGTTTTTGGGGTTTTTTTAAATCCACTTCAGTGCTCTCACAGTTTAATTTCAAGCTCAGCCGAAGCTGAGCTTTGCTGGGAGTCATTTTGCCGAGGATCCCGTCTGTCTGACAAGGAAAAACTTGGATGAGCCATGTGACAGCAGCTCCTCTGGCTGGGATTCTCTCTCCCAGAAATAGGAATGGCTTCGGAGTGGCGCAGGATGGAGGGAACAAATTCCCAGGAGCCCCCTTTTTGGGGCGTTTAGAAACGTCTGAGTGGGTTTTAGCTGCAGTTTGCAATTGAAAATGGGAATTAATGAGCTTAAACTGGAGCAGGGGGGGGAATTTAAAGTGGATGTTGGGAGAAGTGTCTAATGGAGGATGGGGAAGCGCTGGAGCTGCCTGGCTGGGAAGGGGGTTTCTCCCTCCCAGCATCCAGGGATTTGGGAGTGGGATAGATGAGAACCTTTGGGAAGCATTACAAGGTGGCAAGTGGTGGCAGGTGGTGCCTGAGTCTGATTTGATGCAGAAGTGGCCTTTTCATCATCCCAGGGGGATGATGTGCCTCCATCCTGGTGCTTCATTTTTCCTGGCCATTAATTACGAGGTCATTACTTCTCCTAATTATACAGAACTCTGGTTTTATTCTCCTTCCTCACGCGGAGGGACCTCGTGGACCTCAACTCTGAGTCAGCTCAAAGCTGTCAAAGAGCTTGTTAGGTCTTGGTGGCTTCCCACTGCCAGAGGGCAGGGTTAGGTGGGATATTGGGAAGAAATTCCTGTCTGTGAGGGTGGGGATGCCCTGGCCCATGTTGGGCAGAGAAGCTGTGGCTGCCCCTGGATCCCTGGAAGTGTCCAAGGCCAGGTTGGAGCAATGTGGGATAGTGGAAGGTGTCCCTGCCCATGACAGGGGTGGGACTGAATGGTCTTTAAGGTCCTTCCAGCCCAAACCATTCCATGATTCTGTGATCTGTGGGGGTTCTGTGAATGCCCATCTGCAGCTGGAGGAGCTGTTCAGGTTCCAGTGTAACTTGTAGACCTGAAGATGGATTAACCTTTGTCCTGGAGAGAACCAGCCTCTGAACGAAGCAGTTTGACGTCTTTGACTTTGACCTGCAGAAAGGATTTTTCCCCTCCTGCTCTCCTGATTCTGGAAATTCAGCTTTGTGGCTCCTGTCAGCAGCATCTCCTCACCTTCAGGCCCACCACAGAGAGGTCAAGTTTCCCCTGGAGCTGAACGTGGCGTGAGAGCATCAAAATCAGTCACTTTTGCAAGACCGAAAACCTCAACCTGTAATTAGTTAAGAAGGTCTGTAATTAGAAGGATGGTTCCAGCTGAGGTTTAAAACTCTGCCTGCAGCTAAGACCAGCTTGGCACAGCTCGCCTTTAAACACTTGCTCTTGCAAAACACACCCTTTCTAAAATAAGGAGCTGCTGACTTTGGGCTGGGTTGAACTTCAGCTTCACAAAAAGGTTTTTTTTTGTTCTGTTTTTGGGGGAGTTTTGCTGAGCCATCAGCACATGAGCCGGAGGTGCAAACCCATCTGGGTGGAGAACGAAGACTTTTCAGCCTTCAGCTGTTATTTACATGTGGTTTTCCTTGATTCTTGACAGGGGAGCAGCTCCCTGGCTTTGCTAATCCATGTGAGCTCCCGGGGCTTTGATACTGGGTTGAATGGGAGCAGTAGGAAGGTGGTGTTTGCTCTTTGGAGGCTGAATAAAAGGCTGTTTGGGGTTTGTTGTTTTTAAGGTTGAGTGGTCAAGGGTTGTGGTGTAAGGAAGAAGCTCAGCAGGTTTATTTGAGGCAAAGCCTGGGGCTAAAACAATCAGTTGGAGTGTTTTTCAGGCTTTCCTACAATGTTATCAGAGCTCTGCAGGTCCTGCTTCCTGTGCTGTGAATCCCCATGATAAAAAAGGGGCTCCATCTTGGCCTTGGCAGTAGAAAAAGAGAGAAACTGTGCTCTGTCTTGTAAAAATAGTTGCATTAGTTCCATTTTCAGGTTAAACCCCCTTCCTTCTTTGCTGCTTTGGTATGGGGAAGGTGTAAAATCCCTCCCCCACCTCCTCTGTCACTCCCCTTCCCAGAGTCCATCCCCTTGGATCCAGCAGTGAGGCCAAATATTGACTCGAATTCCTCACTGTTTCTCATGTTCTCCTAAAAAATACACTTCCTAAATGCTGGAGGTGGGGAGAAGGTTTGGAGTGGTTGGAGCAGGACAGGCTGGCAGCATTGGAGTTAAACACAGACGAGTGGGACAACCCCCATTATTGGGGAATTCCAGAGCAGAACCTGGGAAGCTGCAGAGTTTGATGAAGAGGAAGATGAAGGCCATGATGTGAGACCCAGGATGTAGTGGATAACAGTGGATGAATCCATGTGGGAGCCATCAGGATCACATCTCTGGCCCAGGTCTTGCATCCAGGAGAGCTGCAATGCCTGCATTGGATCAGTCGTAGGGGTGGAGCTGGGATCAGTGTGAGGAGCCTGGAAATGGCTCTTAAAATGCTTCTACCTCCCTTTTTCCTGCTGAGCCTGCCTTTCCCAGGGATGGACACGGAGCAGGATGGTGAGTCGGATCCAAAGCTGGCACCAGCTCAGCCCTGATGACACAAAAAATGCTTTGTAGCTGTCCAGGTAAAGCACAGCCCCACTCCCCCACTCCTGAAAGTGGGAATGGGGGTTGGAAATTTGCATCTGGGCTCCTACTACCCAGATTTCTTTCAATTATTTTTTTATTCCCCTGGTTTTGGGAGCAAATGCTTATAAAGGAGGATTTGTCCATTTTAATCAGGATGATGGACAGGTGAGGCCCAAGGGGAAAGTAAAGTGGTTATTGCACAGATAATTGTTGTAGATTATTTATTAGGGATAAATCCAGTTCTTTCACCCCCAGAATTCCTATTTAAAAGCAGCATTTGCTTATATTTCCTGACTCATTCCCTCTTGGCTTCCCACCCTGCACAAAAAAGTCCCGGAGTGCCGTACCCATCTCTTCCCAGCCCCTTTCTGCACCAATCCTGTTGTGCCAGCCCTTCTCCTGCCGGTGGGAGGAAATTCCTGATCCCTGCCAGGCTTTGAAGCTGCTGCAGGAGCCTCCAGCACCCCTGAAAATACGGAAAAACGGGGCAAAAAGCAGGTTGTGAGCGGGAGGGTTGCAGTGCATCCCTGGACCTCCTAGGAGGGATTTTCCACTTGAGCTTCAGCACAGCTCTTCCCCTCGGCACATTACGGGTGGATTTCTCCCTGCCCTCCCCAAACTCCGGCTTTTCCAGCGCATGTGCTGTTTTATCTGCACGGTGCAGAGTCACCCACCCTCCTGCAGACGGGCTGGGGCTGGTGCTCTGTCACTGCAGAGCTGGGGCGCTGCCCTGAGCCTGAAATCCAGGCTGGGATCCACAGGGAAAAATCTCCCTGCATTGAACAAGCTGTTTCCACTAGACTTTTTTCTTTTTTTTTCCATCAGGGGGTTGCTCAGCAATATTTTATTCCCTTTTTTTTTTTTTTTCCCTATTACTGAGAGGCTAAAACTCGTCTGGGAAGTGCTGCCAAACAAATAAGTGAGGGCAGAAAGGTACCCGCTATTTATTTTGGCTGGCAGAGCCTTGTGCTGGGAATGGGAGGAGGAGGAGAAGGAAAAAGGAGGAGGAGGAGGAGGGTGAGTCAGCGTTTCAGTGCTGCAAAGAGCTTCCACCAGGCTGCTGCAAGCGGAGGTTTCCCTCTAGAGGAATCCGCCGTCCTCCGCTCCTCCTTTCACTGAGCACTTCCAGCATCAGGGAGAACGGGAAAAGGGGCTTTTTTAGGGGATGGATTATTTGTGGGGAGAGAGGTTTTCTGCCAGTGCTGGGCTGGTCACCAAGACAGAGGTGTTTGTGCCAAGGAAAGGGGTGGAACGGTGAGAGTGCAATTTGAAAACTCGGGGGAAAGTCACAGATTCTGAGGAAACAGCCCCAAGTTGCACCAGGGGAGGTTTAGGTTGGATATTAGGGAAAATTCCTTCATGGAAAGGGTGGTCAGGCATTGTCACAGCTGCCCAGGGAAGTGGTGGAGTCCCCATCCCTGGAGGGATTTAAAATCCCTGTGGATGTGGCATTTGGGGACAGGGGTCAGTGGTGGCCTTGGCAGTACTGGGGGAATGGTTGGACTGGATGATCTTAAGGGGCTTTTCCAACCTAAAGAATTCCATGGTTCTTCTGCCTGGAATTTGCAGCTGAGAGGGGCTTGTGCAGCCCCTGAGCAAACCCTGGTGGGTCCCAGCAGGAATGGGGACAGGAAAAATCCCTTTTGTAGATGTTGTGAGCTCACTCAAGACAGAAAGGAAAATTCCATAGGGGGGTTTTAGAGCAGGAAAACCAGAATCTGACAAGAAAAGGTGAATTTAAGTTCTGTGTTTATATATTTAGACGTTGTCAGCAAGTCCAGCACGGCATGAGCCTCATCGTGACTTTACAAGGGCCTGGAGTGACAGGAATGGCTTCCCACTGCTGGAGGACAGGGTTAGGTGGGATATGGGGAAGGAATTTTTCCCTGTGAGGGTGGGGAGGCCCTGTCCCAGGTTGGGCAGAGAAGCTGTGGCTGCCCCTGGATCCCTGGAAGTGTCCAAGGCCAGGTTGGAGCAGCCTGGGCTAGTGGAAGGTGTCCCTGCCCATAGGCAGGGGGTTTGAACTGGATGATCTTTAAGATCTCATCCAACTCCAACCATTCCATGATTCTGTGATGACTTGGGGAATGAAGACAGGATCATCTGGGGTGGGTTTGAAGAGACCTCGAGGCTGTTTCTCCACCTGTGCAGATGCAGTTTGGGGTGAGGGGCTGCTGTGGCATCAACCACCCCCTGAGGAAGGAGCTTCAGCCACTCAGCCTTCTGGCAGCTCTGAAGGTCGTTAGCGGGGAGTGCTCATTAGGAGCCTGCAGCTGATTAATGCTCTGGAGCCATTTAGAGCTGGAGCCCAGCAGAGCTGGATCGGGCCTTGGATGCTCTTACTCAGCATTAAGAGCCACAAATCATGGATCTTAATCTGGACCAAACCATGGAAGCAAGTGCCAGCAAGGAGCAGGACGAGCAGAGGGAGGGCAGTGGGGTGTGACATTGCACCACCCTCACATGGTGGTGGTCCAGCTTGGAGTTTGCCACCTTCCCTTTCCAGCTGGAAAGGAAAATTTGCCATGTTTTGCCCTGTTAAAACCCACTTGTGGATGTTGTGAGCTCCCTTGGGTGATGAGCAGCTGTGCTTCTCTTCTGGGAAGCTTAAACATGATGGCGATTAGGGAAAAAGGTTCAACCACACGCTGATTCCCGGGTTGGGAATGCCGGGAGATGTTGGCTTCCAAGCAGAGACCATCAGCTTCTCCCATCACTTCTTCTGGGGACCTGTGCACACCTGTGAAGAGCTGGGCTGCTCACGGTGGTTCCTCCACCCTGGTCCGAGCAGGAGAGGACATGGAGACCCGTCGGAGCACGGCCGGGCTGTTTGGGGACCGGGATGGGCACGGCCATCACTGCTTAGTGACAGCAGGAGAGGGCACCCACGAGCTGTCTCTGCCCACAGCTGAGCTGCAGGTTTGAGTACAAATGAGGGGTTTGAGCCACCTTGTGTCCCTGGATTCCTAATTCTGCTCAGTGGTGTCCGGCACGGTGTCCGGTGGCTGCTGGAGCTGAGCCTGTCACTCCCGGCCGCTTCCTGTCCGTGTTTTTTCTACCAAAAAACTTGGATAAGGGGATTTTGGTGCCACTGATGGCATAAATAAGCACCTTTCCAAGGGTGATGCATGAGGGGGGCTCTGAAGCTGCCAGGAGTGGGGAGAAGTGGGGCCTCGTGGTCCGAGGGGCGCTGCCGGCTGTCGCCCTTCCTGCTTTAAAACCAGCTGGCTTCACCAGCCCACAGTGTCAGCTTTTGCCTCAAGATGGCATTTTTGTGCTTTAAAACGTGCCCAAGGTGTTTTGTGCATCCTCGATAACAGGAAAAGAGTTGTCCAAGTAACTTTTTTTTTGCTTGATTTTGTGTTTGATCTTCTGGTGATTCCTGCGATCCCTTCCAGCAGCTCGGGAGGGAAATCCCGAGCTGTGACCCCAGGGCTGGACAGACCCTGTGGATTGTGGCAAAGTAATTCATTTATTCATTCCTTGTTAAAGTTTGATGTGCCCAGTGCTGGCTGATCCATGTCCGTGTTTCTCCCAAACCCCAAAAGTGGGAGCTCTGAAACTTGTGGCCGTAATCCCAGTGGATCAGTTCTGGTGCTGAGTGCCCCTATCCTGGGGATGGGAATGCTCCTTCCAAGGGTGAATCAAGGGGATGGGGGCTCAGGAGGAGGGAGCGTGGCAGCTGGAGCACCGGTTGGGGTGTGGAGTGTTCACACCACACACTTTGGGATGTGAAAACCATTGAGCCTGGTGAGGGTTCCTTGGGGGTGGTGATGCACATTGCTGGAGTTGTTCCCAAAGGAAGATCAATGAAATTCCAAAGAAAGGTCAGTGTAGTCCCTCTTGAAAGGGCAGCAAAGAACTGGCCTCCTCCATGGGACTGACAGTCTGAATTCAGGATGTGCTGAATCCATTCCTCCTCCTTGGGGTTCCCTGTGGTGGGGGTTCCAGGCATCTTGGGATCTGAGGCCAGAAGTGACATGACAAAGGGCATGTGGGAGGCTGGGCAGAGTCCAGAATGGAGCCAGGGTCACATCCTGCTCCTTCCTGCCTGGCTCTTGTTCCTTGGCCACCTGGAGCTGTGCTCCCCCCCATCCTGTGCAAGAGGGAGCTCCGTGTCTGCTGCCAGCCTGGTAGTGTTGGCAAACCAAGTCATGAGGGACTGGGGTAAGCTAAAAAAGACTCCTGAGTGCCTTTACTGGTTCAAGCAACCCTGATCCAAGAGCCCAGCCCGGCTCCTCCTGCACAACCTGCCCTTGTTTGGGGCACCAGCCTCGGGACCAAAATCTGAGCCGAGTCCTTGGGCTGCAGGAGGTGGGAAAAACCTCTCGGGCTCCTGGGCTTGCTGAGGCAGAGAGGGGAACGTGGAGAACTGTTCTAGGAGAAGGGCTGCCCTTTCCTTTGTGTCGTGCATGCCCTTTCCACGCCTTGACTCCATAATCATTGCTCTGCCTAACAAGAGCCGAGAATGTGTTTGGTCATTGCATTGCTTGGACCGAAGCGTTTGTGGTGTGTGTGGTGTGTGCTCACAGCTCTGTCACAGCATTAACCAGGAGGACTGTTTTGTCTTCCCTCCACAGCCTGGAAGTGTCTCCTCAGGTAGAAACCAGCTCAGATGCTCCTTCTCATTTTCCTCCCTGCTCCCCCGCCCCGTTTCCTCCTGCCCATCTCGCTCGCATGCCAAGCTCTAACCTCCCTCCCGCTACTGGAGACAGTCAGGCCGGATGCTTGTCCCCCACCAACCCATTCCTCAACTCCCTGCAGAGCAATCCCTTCTTTGAGGACCTCCTCGCTGACCAGGTACTAAATTCTCCTTCACCTACTCACTTTTTCTCTAGTTTCCCGTGTGGGCCGCATGCTTCACCAGAGGTCGCTGGGAGCTTTTATTCCTCTGAGGATTGCAGTCCCTCTGCCTCCCTAAGGCACACAGACCCAGAGAGGGAGTCTCCAGCCAAAAGCATTGGTGTCCCCGTTCCTGAAACCACTCCCCCATCACAAGGAGACCTTCCTCCTCCGGACACCGAACCCGCAGTCCCTCTGCCGCTCTCGGAGTGGGACGATACCTTCGATGCCTTTGCCACCAGCAGGCTCAAACCAGAAGGGAAGAAGGAAAACTTCTTTGCTTCCCTGGCAGCAGAGGGCATGGCTTTCATCGACGATGCCGATGCTGCCAGCCCAACGGAGAGAGCAGCCAAGCCAGCCCACGAGAAGGGCACACAAGGATTCGAAAAGGCCGATTCCCAAATGGACGGTGAAATACCCGCGGCTCTTCGGTCTTGGACAAATTTCTCCAGTTTAGATGTGGGGGCCAACTTGGTGAGCACAACCCAGGAGGCCACGGTGATAGAGGACGTGCTGAGCCCCGTGTCTGCAGGGTCCATGGGGAGGAGGAGGAAGAGCAGCACGCCCATGGTTTGGACAGCCGCGTTTGCGTCGGGAAACTCCGCGGAAAAAGAGGCTTCGACAGCACTGACCACTGGAAGTAGCACCAGGGAGGGAGGGGACAGTGATGAGGAGGAATCCTCTAGTGCAGGGACAAATGGCTGGATGACCATAGCCACCGAAACTGCTCCTGAGCCCTCGGAGAGCACCCAAAGCGTGGCTGAGGAGCGCGTGGGTCAGGACAGCGTGTTCGGCCCACGACCTGCCTTCCTCAGCGACGGCGCCTTCGAAGCCAACAACACATCCCGTGCCGCCGCCCGCGTGCTGCCCAGGAGCACCTTCCCCCCCGAGCTCACCCCAGAAACCCTGCCAGGCAGCAGCGTGGTGGCTGTGCCCCCACGGGTGCTGGCGGAGGTGGCAGCACGGCCGCTCCCTGCCCCTCCCGAGCTGGGGACGGAGCTCCAGGGCGCTGGGAATGAGGAGGACACGTTCGACATCCGGACATCGGTGTACCGGCTCCAGGCCAGCATGAGGCTGGAGGCCAGTGAAAGCCTTGTAAAGCTCAGCTCTGACATCCGTGAGAGGCACGTCGTCCTCTCCCCGTGGACAGGGACCCACGAGCGGGAGGAGATCGCAGCCGGCTTGGCAGTGCCACCCCCAAAACCTCCCCGGTGGTTCGCAGCTGCCGGCGTTGGAGGGGATGGGGAGGAGGAGGAGAAGGCTCGTGGCCCACAGCGAGGCAGTGAGGAGCGAGGGGAAGACACCGAGCGCCCAAAAGCAGATGCAGAGTTGCCAAGGAGCCATGTGAGCAGCGAACCCTCTGTCCCGGCATCTCCCAGCCCGCCTGCCCTAAGGGTGGACATCGCCGAAGCTGGGAGGGAGTTTCTGGTCTCGAAGGATGCTGAATGTGTGGACTCAGCAGAGAGAGCCAGCGAGCTGGGAAAAGGGGACGCCTCTCTGGGGGAAGACCCATCGGAGATGAACGAGATGGATGCAGCTGAGCAGTTCGAGACTTGCACATCCAAGTTCTCCCTGGATGGATCAGGCCAGTCGGGTGCTGAGCAGAGCTGGAGCCAGCCCCGTTTGTCCCCTCAGACGGGGCCCACAGACAGTGCCAAGTGGGAGATGGCCTCTGCCCAGGAGCCGTTCCCTGAGGAGCTCAGTGTTTCAGGACTAAACCCACCTTCCAAGCTAGACCTGGGCCAGCCGGAAACATTCTGGACGGCTCTGGAAGAGCAGGAGGCAGCTGCTCATCCCGCTGGTCTCAGCCCAAGGTTAGCGCGTGGGGAGAGCCCACCCCGGCCGCAGCCGGCATGGGATGATGGTGAGGGGCAAGAGGGACACCAGCCTGAGCCTTGTGCCCCTGGGGCAGTGGCCAGCCCTCCTGAGGAGGCAGAGCAGGGCAGACCCCCCTGCAGCGAGCCCGAGGGGCCGTGGCACTCGGCAGACAGCAGGATAGACTTCAAGAAGGCGGATTTCTGGAAGCCAGACAGGGCGGAGGAGAGGCACAAGCAGGAAGCTCCATCCCCGAAAAACCCCTTTACTCTGGCCCTCAGCCCCAACTCCCCAAGCAACCCCTTCGTGGAGACACCCCCAGACCACCCCCTCCCTGCTCAAGCTGTGCTGCCCGAAAAGCTTGACCAGGGCGACTTCAGCTTCGCCAGCCTCCAGGAGGAAGCCCTCGGGCAAGGCTTCCAGCCCACTAACCCCGCCGGGCACCCGCTCGTGCAGCCTCCCTTCCCGCATGCCAGCCAGCCCTTGGCCTTCTCCACCCCTTTCCTCGTGGCTGCCACTAACCCCGAGCAGTTTGGTTTCCCCTCCCCTGCCGTGTTCCCCGCGAGCCGCGGGGTCCCCGCCGCCTCCAGCCGCGCAGCCGCCCAGCCCTGCCCTTTGCCGCAGCCCGGGGACACACAGGCTTCAGCGCTCGTGGTTTTGCCCAGGGAGACACAGCCAGCTGAGAAGCCCCTTTTCCAGCAGACGACCAGGTGAGCTACTCCGGGGAAGGCGAAGGGTGTGTTAGTTTTGGTAGAGGTGAGCCCCGACTCCCTTCCTGCTCTTATAAGAGGACCCCGGCGCGGTGTCGGCAGCTCCCTGTGTGTTGCTGCAGGTCCTCTTCCCTCACCTTCCCGTGGTCCCAGAGGGTCCAGCCTGAACTGCTTGAAGCCTTGGCTTTCTGGGATCACGGAATGGCCACTGGTGTCCTGTGTTTTCCCTAATGAGGGCAAATGGTTTGAGGCATCCACGACCCGCCCCAGCTGGAAATTCAGCCACTGCACCCGCGTTTCCCTCAGTGCTAATTTTGGCTCCATCATCTTCCCCGTGCTTGCAAAAATAAATGCCTTCTCCATGGCTGCCAGGAGAGCTCCTGGCCGTCCATGCTCTCCTGAGTTCCCTCATGGCATGTGCACAGCTGCTGCCCCTTCCCTTTCCATTCATTCAGCTTTGGTTCCTTTCCTTTGGAATGCCCAATAGGTACTAAAAAAAAACTTCTTCTCTCCATAGCCAAAAAAAAAAAAGAGAGTAGTTTCACCAGGGCAAAATTCTCCCCTCCCTCCTGCCGAGATGCCCGTTGGTTATGAGGCAAGTGGGGTTTAGCCTTGAGGATAACGGGAATGGGAAGGGGGATCCATGGTGGAAAGAAGGGGATGTTCCTCCTCCCAGGCCAGCTGTGGGCTTGTAGAAGCCATGAAGTAAAGATGGTGAGTTTTGGGCATGGAGCCTTGCTCTGTGTCCTTCAGTTCATCAAGTTTTCCTGGTTCCCTCCCCTGCTCTGCCTGGGCAGGAGAAGGTTGTCCTGGGCTCTCTCTGCCCAAGGATCAAGCTCTTACAGTGATTTACTCAGCTCTAGCAGGGATTTACTTGATCAACCTTGCTAATCATGAGGCAAATGGAGCTTCACGGAGGCAGTGAAATGGTAAAATCCCACCTGGCCCAAGAACAATGTTGGTCACAGCCCTGGGGAGAGAAAGGGGAGAAGGCTGGGCCAGCAAAACTGAGCTGAGCTCCAGCCCTTCTTCATGGGATCCTTCCTTGGCTTGAGGGCGGATTTGAGGAGCAAAATGATCTCAGGAGCAAGAGCTGGGGCTGTTGGCTGATATTTTTTCTTATTACTTAGTCCAGATCCTCAAATCATTTTTAATTGCATCATTCATCCCGCAGCAGGTAACCTTGTTCAAAATTTGCAGGGATGGGATACAGAAACCTGCTGACCCTTGGCATGTTTCATGGAAAGAGAAGTGTCCTGCTGTCCCAAAGGGTAAAATGAGGCAGTGAGGGAAGTACAAGACTCTCTGTGTCGATAGGATGAGCTCGTGGTCATCTTCAAGCTCGTGGTGCCTCCATCCAAGGCCTGGCTGGCTCCTGGGATGGAAGTGGGCTTGGACCTGAGGGCTGGTCGTCCTATCAGTGCTGGTTTCTGTCGTGACACACAGCTGAGAAGTCCTGGAACTTCTCTGCTCCGGTTCCTGCTGTGATTGAAGAGCCTTTGAAGAGTTTCCAGGTGTCTCTGGAAAGCTTTGAGGTTCTGCAGTGCTTCATAAGACTGGGGAGAAGTGGTGATTGTCATGGGGTGAAGAGAGGAAAGCTGGAAGGGACCTTTTCTGGGTCCCCATGGCCATGCTTCCCTTTCCCAGAATCATCCCTTGTTAGGATGGCACATGGACAAGAAAAGCTATGACAGAAAAAAAGTGGAAGGAAAAAGGGAAGACTTCAACCTTAGAACAGACATTAAGGCTTGGCTTTAGGGACACTTTTTGGGACAGAAGTGTCCTTTTTGTTCCATCAGGTGAAGGAGGAGCTGGTACCTGGTGTGGACTGTTGAGAGTCTGTTGTGCTGGGGTTGTGTGTCCTCCTCAGGAGAGCTGGAAACCGGGTGTGGGGTCCCATGTCCCCTTCCCAAGTGTCCAGAGGGCTCTGCTGGTCATCTTGTGTGGCCACTGGGGTAAGGTGAGTGCTCAGAGCATCAGGTGTGACACTCAGGTGTGTGGAGGGTCCTTGTCGCTTTAAGAAGGGTGGGGTGGTGCCTTCACTGCTGGGAAGGTGACTTTGGTCACATCCCTGGGACAGGTGGGACCTCAGGGACAGTGACTGTCCTTCAGGGACTCCGCTGCCTTGGAGGGGTGCAGCAGTTGTGCAGCTCCTCACCCATCCCTCAGGAACTCAGGTGTGTGACCGTTCCAGCGTGCCATGGTGCTGGCAGGTGACAGGACTGGGGACATCCCAGGTGCCAGGGTGATGTTGGCACACACTGCTTTGTGCCTTCCTCGTGTCAGGGGTGCAGCACAACCATCATCTGCTGAAAATGAGGCTTCAGGTTAAATCACGTGCCAGTGTCTGTGATTTAAATGCAGTCCTTGTAGAGCCCTTGGAGCTTGGAGAATGGCCTGGCACATCCATGGATAGACCTGGGAGATCTCATCCCGAGTTCAGTCATTCCCTTTCATCCTGGAGACCCTTTTCTCCATGGAGATCTGGCCCTCAGGTGCTGTGTGCTGCTCCACAGCAGATCGATTCCCTTGGATTTGTCCTTTCTTGTCTTGTTCCCTGTGAGAAGCATTTTAATGGGGTGATAAAGACTTGATTTCAGAGGGATTTTTGTCACTGTGCTCAGCAGTGACCTTGGGAGCGTTGGTGAAGCTGTGACACAGCAAGGCTGGCTCAGAGGGGGGGACAGAGCTGGGCCACTGTCACCCTGAGAGGTTTCACCCTGACCTGTTAAGCTCCACCTTGGACTTGGGTCCACTCAGTGTGAGGAATTAGTTCTCTCAAGTTCACGTTCATCAGCCAGCAGATGGAAGCAGATCCAGCTTCTTGGAGGATCCATCAGAACTTCAGACCTGGCTGTGAGGTGTGAAACAGCCTCTGCTCCCCTGGAAGGACCTGGTGCCAACCATCCTGGGGCAGGTGCAAGGATGCCTCCAGCTTCTGGACCTTCTCAGAGTGACCAGTGGAGGGGGCAGAGCCCTGCACACACAACCCCCTGAACAGGAAAGAGTGGGATTGTGATTTATTTTTAAAAATACCTTTTCCAGCTCTGCAGAAATGACTGTTCCCACTGGCTGTGGGCCTGTGACCAGACTTGCAGTGGGGAATGTCCCCCTGCTTTCAAAATGCATCCAAACTATCCCACTGGCATCCCAAGGCAGGATTTCATTCTGTAGTTATGCCAGTTTGGTCCCAAGGTTTGGGCACCTGTGGTGTCCCTGCCCTGGCTGTGGGGGTGCACCAGGTGATGGTGACATTTGGGGCTACTTATGTTCTGGTCTGGCTGTGATAAGGAGTCCTGGTGGCTCCCCCAGTGTTCTCCTCACAACTGCTGGACCGTTTGTGGCCTGGTGGTGACAGCTCTGGTGGTGCAGGGTTTGATCCCCAGTGGGGAGCTTTTGAGGCAACTTCTCCAAGCCCTGACTGAGGTCCATGGATCCCTCTTCATCCTTGCTAGCTGCCCAGGAACCCTGGGCTCTGTCCACATGCTCGGACAGCTCTGGCAAGAGCTCATAGAATCACAGAGTATCCTGAGCTGGAAGGGACCCACCAGGATCATCCAGTCCAACTCCTTGCCCTGCACAGACACTCCAACAATCCCACCCTGTCCCTCAGAGCGTTGTCCAAAC